TCTTTCTACGTACCTGGAGTGGACAAAGCCTTACTCGTATGTCATTTTACATTGCCTTTACATTATCTTAGCATAAAAAATGATGAGCTTAATTTCAATTCAGGTAAGAAATCCAAAAATGAGCTGTGATCTGGCGAGCGTGAAAAATATAATGACTTTCATAATCTCTTTGTATAAGTTTGGCTTCGCATCATCAACCACGTGCTTGTTAATATCCGCTTGCACCAGAGACGCCTGTACAAAAACAAACAAATTTTGAAATATGCTGAAGTGCCTGGTACCTGCTCAACACACCTCCCTGGAAATAAAAGCGCAAATGTGAAAAATTTAATGGGATTTCATTTAAAGAGACTGCGAGACAAAAAAAAACCGTTCTTTGTGAGTGGGTCACCAGCAGCACTGACAGCTGACATTTTATATAAAAGTCGAACAAAAAAGCGCTGTGGTAGCTAAGAGTAGAAAAGAGAAAGGAACGTAAATTTCACAGCCATCACAACCGCGTTTATTATAATGACTTGCATCTCTCTCTCTGCTCTGCAGTCAAAAGTCGGTTTTGGTGCGAAATTTGTTTTGTATGAAAATCATGTGAAAAGGTGTGAAATTGCTTTTAAACAAAAAATTGAGCAACAAATTGTGGGTAGCAGGTATAACTCTGTGACACATATATGCATATATATACATATTTGCATAAAAACCGATAACTGTTGGTGCGCCTGTGATTATGCAGCAAATTACTTTGAGCACTTGCGCTGGCCATCAAGTGCACTTGTGTGTGTTTTTATGCTCGTGTAAGCCGAAAGCTGGTACAAGTTGTGTACTCTAGCGCCATGACATGAAATACTAAGGTTTTATATACAGAATTTCTTTAATAAAACATTATATTAGCGGCTGTTTTAAGTATACATTTAGTGGCGCAGAAAAACGATGTATATAAGAAGTAGTAAAGAATTAAAGAAAATCCCTAAAAACTTTGCAGATTTTACAAAGTAGAATAATCAAGATGTAATTCATATTAAAATATTAAAGTTTGAAATTTGGTTTTTTACAAAATTCTTATCATCAAGTATATTTTCTTAAAAAACAAAACACTTCTTATTAACTTGAAAACTCCTCGAGAACTTTTTTGATTCTTTGCTTTTGGCGTATAAATTTCATAATTTTTCTCAGTTTCGGTTTTTTCGATAGTTCGCTATTTTATTCAGTATATGTCTTTACTGAGCGTTTCGAAAACCAGCCGCAAGGCTTTTTAATATTTATTATAATACTCTGTTTCGCTGACACTTTTTATAGATAGCGTATATTTTGGATTGGCGTATAGTTAGCTACTACAGCTGAAACTTTCTGAAATCCGTTGACTTATTTATAATTTTTGATAGTTCTAGTTTTTTCGAAAGATGGCAAGTTAAGTCACTCTAAGTTCTGTTTGTGTTGAAAATTTTCCAAATATAGATCAACATATATCAGATTTGCTTAGACGTCTTATATTTGGTAATACAATATATTAAAAAATTTATCTTCTGGTGATAGCTGGCAACTGTATTTCCAAATTTTCCAAATATGTCTAAATTTAAGAATGCATGAAAACCTGCCACCACTATCTTACTTAACTACCTTATATTACGTATACTTTGTGCTAACTATATATTTCTGATTGGTGGCAACACTGTTTTAAAAATTATGATATTAAAAATGTTTCTAATAAATTTGCAAAATTACCTAAATTTCCTACTCATTTTGTAAAGTTTTATCGTTGACAGTTCTTATAACATAAAATTAAATGAATAAATTTAGCCAGCGGGTATTATGTTTCTTAATATCTTTAAGTTAATCTATATAAGACTAAATTACGGATTGAGTCAGGCGCACAGTTCTTTTAAATTTTTGGTTTAAAATTGTCGTTAATTGGCAGTTCTTTTTAAAATCAATCTAAATTAAAAATTTTCTTTATACTTTGCACGAAACTGTTTTAAACGCCTAATTTCTTAAATATTGCTAATTTCTAAAATATATCGATGTTTTTAGAAGCAAGCAATAAATATGTCTAATTAAAAGATTGCTGAAATATTTACGGTTCGATATCTATATTATGTTATTTTTATTTGAAAACCATTTCAGTTGTAGTCAGTGCTGTCTATACACATATGTACATATTCAGAGCCGAATCTGTGAAAACTAATTTATTGTACTTTTTGTTGAAGAGTAAAAATTAATTTTAATTTTTTTTAAAGAATAAAATTTTATAAATTTCAAAAATTTAGAACATTTAGCCTAAGTATTTGCTTCGTATATAAAAGTTTATTGTACAATAATATTGCTAATATGTCTCTAATTTACAATTATTGTATACATACATATACAATATAACTAATAGAATACACCTCAATTATTTTTACTAAAATATAAAACTTTATTGCACAATATTACTGAATAAATGTTTGGCATTTGGCATGCGCTAAGAATTTATAAAATGTATTAATTTTACATATTTTAGAATATAAAACTTTTTCGAGCAATATTATTAAAGATATGCATATGATTTGACATAATCTCTTGTAACTCATAAAAACAATTTACTTCAATAGGCAAAATACCAAAAAATATTGCACAATATCATTAAACACATGTATAAAATATAATTTTTTGACATAATTTCTTGCAACACATCAAAACCGTTTCTTTTGTATATAAAAAATATCAATTATTGCGCAATATTATTGAACATACAATATGTACGTAATTTTTGGCAGGTGCCCTTGTAACTAATAAAATCAATTACCTTTACATACGTAAATTATATTATTCAATTTTATTGTACAGTAAAATTGACGAATACCATCTAATTTTTATTTAATTTATGTCGCTGTAACTCATAGAATACACATCCATTCGTTTTACATACATACCTAAAATATGATAATTACACTTCTGAAACTAATAATAATAATTGTACCACAATGCGTATACACAACCTCGACATCTGAGCGCACACAGAGCAAAAATAAGCAACCCACAAATGCACTTAAGCATTGCCAATGGTTAACCTACAAATAAAAATGGCATGAAGATGTAGGGAAAAAGAAATTTCATGGCAAAAAAATAACAAAAATGAAGAAAAAAAGTACAAAATTAAAAGAAGATACGAGATTGTAAAAAAACAACAAAAATTGGATAATATCAAAACTGATTTCTTTCTGTGTTATTTCGTGCACAGTGGCGCGCACGACTGCAAGCCAAAAATCTGTTTGTGTGTCGATATGTGAAATATATTTGCCGGTCACTTCAATTTTATGTTCTCGCAGTGTTGCAGAAATGTGTGCGAATGCTATTTTAGAAGCTTCTGTTTTACAATTTGTGGGTCACTCGTGTCTCACGCTTCATAAAATTACTTTAATGGACTGAGAGAATAATTGGCAAGCAGCAAGCGTTATTCTTTATTTCAATACAATAAAAATATTGTCAATAAATGAAATTAAACATTCCATATTACACACTAATTGCATCGTATGAGGAATTGGCCGATTGTAACAGGCGAAATTAATACAAAATTTATTTCTCTAGCATCGCTTCAATTATTGACATGTCATGGAAATATAATTTCTTGATATTAATGAAACACACTTGATGGAAATTAATTTGGCATTCAAATAAAATTTGGAATTCAATGTATTCGAACTAAATGAAAAATCAAATGAGGTCGTTAACAAAATAAATTAATATTAATGTGCTTGAAAAAACGTTTCTTTTATGAAAAATAAATGGTTATCGTTCTTAAAAGCAGCCTGCAATTTATCTTTCAGAAAAGTTTCTCATAAGAGAGAAATGGAAATTTTATTTTCAGTACTAGTGATGTCACTGATGATTTAGCTAGAGATTGCGAATCAAAGTGGTACCGTGTTTGTAGATATATTGAACGGCTATATTTTAATTATAAGTTTTTAAATAGTAAGCGGTCAGATTGTGGTGTAAATTGTCACTTTTAATGTACCAACGGGTCCCGATTCAAATTTTTAGCATTTTCAGCAATGTGATTCGTATATAATATTGATAGTAGTCAAAATTTTATGGAAAGACAATATCATATCCATGGTTAGAACAAACGGGTGTATCAAGTGTGAAACAAATAAGAGGTTGAGCCAAGAACTTTGCCTTCCGGAACTCTACAGAATTAAAGATATATTCAATAATCAATTTCGAGAAATCCAAAAGCAGAAATGCTGGTCGATATCAAGGACCGATGATTTGTGGGTGTTTTGCTGGCTAAGCTAATAATTTACACAGCGCCACCTATCGTAAGGGCCGGGTTGTATACTGTTTAAGTGGGACCTCCGTGATGTCCGTATCGGTCCTATTTTGTTTTATGTCGATTCCGTTCCGGAAATTTTGATGTGAAAGGTCCACCTCTTTCTGTAAGACCAATTGTTGAAAATATCGATCAAATAATGGAAATCGTTGAGTCTCATCGTCTTGTAAACACTGTTTCGATTGCACAGAAACTAAACTCTGCACGAAAAATCGTTTTAAATCATTAAAGCTACGCTGGTTGAGAGGTTCTTATGCATCCACAAAATTATTCGCATGGACAGAAATAAGCAGCAATCACTTGGTATCACGTTTTTATAGGTCTTAAAGATTCTTATAGTGTTATAGGCCGGACCTGATGCCAAGTGATTGCTGCGTGTTTTGATTAATTTTGTTGATGAAAAATTCGATTCGAGAGAAGTTTAAGAAGATCGAATGTTCCAGTTCTTTGCCAATTGCGACGAAAGTTTTCAATGGAGTAGATATATGATAATACCTTCAACATGACAAGTTATCGAAAAAAACGGTAGATATTTGACCTAAATTAAATAATGCCAAATCTGCTAAATCAGACCTTCAGCTTATTGCGACAATATCGAATTTATTTTTACTATACCTTTTACTTAGCACCACTTTTATTCTTTATTCAAGTTTTATGAAAATATAAATTAACACTTACTTTTGCTTGCTTTTACTTACAGACCACTAATTAGAGCTTTAGTGGACTCTTGTGTACAACCAATAAATCAGAAAGGACAACACCGTTGCGGGAGAATGCGAAATTTAATTGTCAACTGTGACGGCTGTGCAGACTACGGCTCGTTTTATGACTACACTATCGGCACACCCACACAGATGCACACATAATGTGCAGCAACAATGAGAACAGTATAATCCTTGCAATCCAACCGAATAGCAACAACAACGCCACAAACAATTTGAGCTGATTTATTGCGGCGCACGTGACAGAGCCGAAGCCAAAGCCGGAGCCACAGAGACAGCACCACACACACACCGCAATCATAATGGATGCCATTGGAACAGCGACGATGTGGCGGCGACGTAAACAAATAACAACAACAACAACCGTTAAGCCACTTTATAACACAGCAACATTGACTTTCGTCATACTGTTGTTCAACATCACCTCGGCGGCGCTGACTTTAGCCGGAGCATTGGGCACAACCGGTGAGGTGGCCACACTGCACAACAATACAGCTAACAATATTACAACAAGCGCAACTAAAGCGCACATGAATGCCACAAATGAAGTTATCACAACAGCACCAAGAACCGAGACGCAGCTAACAATTGTACTAACAACAACACCGGCCTCGGCTGATGGCTTTACAACAATGAACACGTTGAGCGCGGCGACTACGTTGAGCGCGAGCACGATGAGCACGACCGTGAGTATGCATCGTGGCGGCAGCGTGGATGTGCGCTATGAGGTCGAGCACAAAGACGACCTAATCAACGATCCATATGTACAGATCGTCTTCTGCATCATCTATACGACCGTCTTTGTGTTGGGCATATTTGGCAATGCGCTCGTTTGCTATGTCGTCTTACGCAATCGTGCTATGCACTCGGTTACGAATTACTTTATAACGAATTTGGCGATCTCTGACATACTGCTCTGCGTGCTGGCTGTGCCCTTTACGCCGCTCTACACCTTCATGGGACGTTGGATATTCGGCGCCGCCATGTGTCATATGGTATCGTATGCGCAGGGTTGCAGTATATATCTGTCGACCTTTACGCTGACCGCGATCGCTGTGGATCGTGTATTTGTGATCGTGTTCCCCTTCAAACCGCGCATGCAAATACGCACCTGTTATTATACGCTCGCTTTTATATGGTGCTTCTCATTGGTGGCCACTACGCCCTATGCCTTATATATGCGTGTCGTTGTGGCGCATGTCAAGAAAAAGTACGTGAATACCGGTGAAATGTTCATGGCGAATAGTACAAATAGTCTGCTTGATCATTTGAATGCCACAACGACACCGTATGGTATTTATCTGCTGACCGATGCGATTACAACGGTGGCTTCGGCAACTGGTGTCAAATTGAACTTAAACGTTTCAGCGGAGCTGGAGGATGATGATGATGACGTCACGATATATTGCGAAGAGAATTGGCCTTCGGAGAGTTTTCGTCGCGGTTTCGGTATTTTGACAACGCTCGGCCAGTTCGTCGCACCATTAGGCGTGATTACGATATGCTATATTTGGGTGTCGGTGCGATTGAATATGCGCGAACGTTGTCGACCCGGCGCTAAATCGGCGGCGCGCGACGCAGCTGATCGCGAACGTAAGAAGCGCACGAACTTCATGCTTATAGCGATGGTTGGCGTGTTCGCTTGCTCTTGGTTACCGATGAATATTGTCAATATGGTTGATGACTTCTATGACAAATCGAATGACTGGTCTTTCTACACATTCATTTTCTTCATAACCCATGCGTTGGCCATGTCATCGACTTGTTACAATCCCTTTTTGTATGCCTGGTTGAATGAGAACTTTCGGAAAGAGTTCAAACATGTCTTGCCCTGCTTTAATCCATCCAAACATCGGCAGGTTAATCGTCACTGCTATAATCGTTCGGATCGCAATACATGCGAGGGCGGTCGGCGTCGCAATGATATGGGCAATGGCGTCGCTGTGAGCATAGATATCGATGAGGGTGATGATGAGCATGAGAATGGCGTTACGCAGGAGACTTCGTTGGCTAGAGCGAAAGAGAAATGCACGAGTGAGACACTCGAACTGACTTGCAGCAATGGTGGTGATGCCCTAACGTCAAATAAGTGTTGTAATGCGGCTATGGTGCATGGTACCCATGTGGTGGATATCGCTCTGAATGGCAAGGGTCAACATGATGATTGTAATAATGCTCTGGATGAGGATTGTGTGTCGGGTGATGAGCATACGGTGGAGATGCATTTCACGGAGACCGCATTCGTGAGTTTAGACAATGGCAAGGATATTTGCCTGTTGGAAGCTGGCTGCAACAAAGAGGTGGGCGAGCAAATTTTTAACTAAGGACGGGTGAGTTTAGTGCGTAAGATGGGGTGGGGCTGAGAGAGAAAGAAAAAGCATTAGAGTTGGATAGAGAGAGAAACAGAAAGCGTAAAAGAGCGAGAGGAAAAAGGGAGTAATATATTTAGTGTTAAAGATTTGACAAAGTTTAGAGAAATTAGAATAATACTGAGAGCTCTATATGTAAGCCTCTTTTAGGTGCCATGTAACCTGATTTTATTAAATATTATATTTATGAGTTGAACTACAGTGGACTGATATAAATGCCGTGTTTGCGAGAGAGTAAAACAACAAAAAGCTACTGAGAGTTTTACATGAAAGTAGCGCTAGGAGTTACCAAATATGATTGTTTACAATAATTCCAAGTAGTTTTTTGGTAACAAAAGCTTAGCAAATACTCAACAAAGAAATCGGATCAAATTGTGAGCGTTTGAGCACTAAATTATTTCTTCTCGGCTAGTATTGTCGCTCTGCTGTCCGATAATGAGTGACAAAAGTTTTCGCAAAATTTTTCCCATATCCCTATATGAGTTATGCCATTTGTTTGTTCTATCCGCCGTTCTTCTAATAATGGCAGTCGATCTCATTGATTTAATTCTTAGCGAAACTTCGGTGCATGTTTTCAAATATCGCAAATTTAGCTAACGAGCGATCTCATTTATAATCATTAACACTGTGTTCCAGAGACAATTCATTTGGATATAGATGTAGATAAGTCTGGATTTGATTTGAACTTCTGGATTAAAGTTTCAAACAGGCCGATTTTTTCTTGAACGCTTTGTTTTTTAGCGGACTTATTGACCGATTTCTTTTTGACCGAAATGTCCTTCTTCCCATTTGTGCGTTGTTCCCCAATTTAGGAACCCTATTTAGATTTAAGTACTCAATTATCGTGTAGAACTTTCTTTTTTTGGCATATTACTTTTCAGTATTGTGTTTTGTTGATATATAGGTGTACAAAAAATCACAGTTACTGACTTTTATGTGCTACAATTGCGGAAGTAACAATCTTAACAAAAGAATATGCGGAAATATTAAGGTATATACGAAACGGCATAAAATACTGTTATAAGCATACATGAGCTTAATATTAAAAACACTTCTTATTTTTTGTTACATACATTCCGACATATTTATATAGGCTGCAGTCGGATTTCCGACTATCATCGCATACTCAATAGGATATGAATACGCAAGGCAAGCAGTCAAGTGGCCTGAACTCTCAAATGACGTACTCAAATGGCGCAGACAGAGATAAACCAGAAGAAAAGCCCGACAGATACATACACACAAATTTATATACATATATGCATGCATATGTATATACACATAATGTCATTAAATGATCTCATATTGCTCTCATACTTCTTTGTTTATTTTTGCCAACGCATAGCTTTCGTGCCCGTGCCGAACGCTCGAGCAATCCAGTTAAACTGCTGTTTTCGACCTGCAAACAGGTCAGACGGCAACAACGGCTCATACTACAGAATAAAGTTTATTGAGCACTTGCAATTTTGAGAGGCAAACATAGTTACGCAATGTTTGCTTTGCTAACTTTTCTCTATTTTTTTTTCAAGTTCACTGGGTGCTGTGTGTATTTGTGTTGATTTTCCGTGTGTATTTGTGTTAAATTCCTCAAAGGCCTGTTAGTTTGCTGCTTTTACATGGCATTTAGTTGCTGAATAAGACATTAACCATTATTTGTAATAACAGTGCATGTCACCCTTGGCTTTCGTGCGTATACATTAAAGTGGCAGAATCTTTTCGTGAATTTCCCCCAAAGCAAACTTCATTGTCACTTATATTACACTTAGTGTTGTAATTTATATTTTATGTAATAAGCGCCGAAAAGGAAAGGTCCAACATATTCTCTTTGAAGTCGGTTTAGACAGTGGTTATAAAAAAGTGATCAAGTTATAAATTGTTTAGAATTAATTTATGGCCGGATAATTGCATTGGTTTAGCTGTGTTGGTAAAATTTTAAAAATTTTAAATATAATTTGAAGAATATTTTATATTTAATAATGTACGCAGTTAATCGTACATATTTTGGTATATACTACTTGTAATATAAAAACTTTTCTATAACTTATATGCGCGCTTCGAAGAGGCGTAAAAATTTGAAAAATAAGGTGGTTTAATGAAAATATTTATGGTAATACTGTATCTACTTTCGTCCAGTAACTGAAATATATGTAGATAATGCCATTAGGAGTCAAGTAGAAGCATAAATGAAATTTTTCTTAAAGAATTCTAACCAGCGCTATCTAGCGGATTTAAACTTCTCGGAGAGGCCCTTCGGTCATAACTTTGTTAAGTTAGATCCTAGGTTTGATTATCGCGCTATAGATAGCGCTTGATGTCACTTGGACCGATATGAACGTTGGTCTTTTGAGCTATCTAAAAACTCTTAAAAATTAATCATGTGCAGGAAGTTATTATCAAATCTAGCCACTGCGCTAGATTCGTAATAGGTGTGGCTACCGTGATATTTCAATATCAGTTTGGCAAAAGCTGGAGAGTAGAAGAGAAAATATCTCCAAGATTCCGCTCAGGGTGTTCCATAGGTATAGCGATAGAGCGCTAGAGGACAACAGAGTACTGACACTGTTATCAGATAAATAATAGTTTTTTCTGTAACCTTTTTCTGTTACCATGGACATACTCTGCAGTTTCATAAAATGATAGGCTTGATGTGAACAATCATTCTCAATTTCGACTAACTTCAATATACATAGAACAAATACGAAAGGAAGATCTTGTACTTGTATATTAGAAATACAACTAAGACTAGGTTAGGTTTATTTTTAAATTGACTCGCAGCAGCCTGACATTTTGAAATTAATAAGTTAGAGTACCTAGACAATTTATAAGGAAAATATAATAGCATATTTTCCTTATAGCTGCTATTTTTGTTGCATCTACTTCTAGGGCTTCTGACCTACCGATCCTCAAAAAACTCAGTCCATATTATCGTGACACCTAAGCTTGATCTTGTCCTAATATATGCATATATGAGTAGATATTGAAGGTGATATTGCTCATCTTAATTGGAGATAGAATGTTTTCGCTGCGAAGTCTGTTGCACGGGTGAACCTTTCTTAGTGCATACACGTATATACAATATAACAAGTTATATGTTTCTCTAAAACCGCCATAAGAGTCGGCCAGTATATATCTAGATAAACATATATCAGACAATATCTTTTGCCAAGATCTTTGGATTCCTCAGCGCGTCGTTTCATGGCACCAGCAGATTGCTATTGAAAGGAGTTTTCTTTGTTATTTCGATCTGTCTAATAACAGGGAAAGGAAGAGTTAGATCTGTTTGTGGTTGTTGTAACAGTAATCCTGTTAGTGTGGCCAGGCGTAAGTTAATTGTCCTCAAAGTCATTTAACGGTGCTGTTTCGACGGAGTCGCACCAGAGATGAATTGATTTCATAGAACATTCAAAGACTTGGTCAGAGTCATCCGGGCTTAGATTTGATATGTCGCGGTTGATTTATGATAAGTAGGAGTTTAACTGCTGCCGTATCCAGCACGAAGTTGCGCAAGGGTTATTCTGGATTCACGAGACAACTCAAGTTCTTCTTCTGCTGTGGGTTGTGGCTTGACTTTATAGTCAACGTCATTCACTGGGAGGGAGTCAGTGAAGGTGTTCATAGCTTGCTATGTCTGAAGTCCATTGCGTCCGTTGCCCATTCCGTTCGTAGTCTGGTCGGTTAGGTATGCCATATCATCGTCATAATCAAGGAATGTTGTCTTGATTCGCCTAGACACCAGCTTCGCTCCTTGCAGCTGTATACAAGGACAGTTTCTGTGAAAGCGTCGTAATAGAAACTGCCTGCAGAGGAGTTCATTGTAGTCTTTAACCAAAAACATACGGGTTTAACTATGTAGCTGTGCGATGGGAGATGTTAGGAGGCATCCTATTGTACGGATCGCAATATTCTGACATTTCTGAAGCTTTTTCGTCTACTGCAATATTAAGATCCAGTCTGTAGTCTTAAGTTCAGTTCGTGAATATTGTCGCTGTGAATTTAGTGGGTAAGAATGTTAGGCTACTTACAGAGAAGAAAAGAAAAATATCGGTATAGTCGTTTACTTTTGAACAGATGCTATCTATTTAAATAGTCCAACAAAGTCGTCGTATTTGCTGTTCTTGGGAGCTCAATCAAGGATAAACCAATCATTTGCTTCAATGGCCGGTATTTCATTCATCCAATGCTTGTCGAAAGTACTGGGGTTTGTTTGTAGGCGGTACAAATTCCGCGCTTTGATTAATAGAAATTTTGAAAGACCGTGCTTTCTGGAGGGTTTTGTTGTAGTCAATTACTCGTCAGTTCATAAACCAAAACTTCTATTCAGCACAGTAATTTTAACTACGAGCTATTGCATCTCCATGACCTTTAGTGTATGCAAATGCTCATTTCTAAGGGCAACTTAAATTTTCTCCGCACTTGGTGAAGCCTCTCATGCCTTACGCTCTCACACTTTAAACCAAGCACTTAGGAGACCATAGCGACTTTATGGCCGCTACGCACTTCAAGCGACGAAAATTCATAGCAACAAAAGTCTCACAATTCACGGTAATGCGAACACAGCTTGCCGTTACAAAACTGCAACAACAATAAATGTAGTCAGAATATTTGCCTGAAAATATTATTCTTTCATGGTTTCCACTTACAGTTTCTTAGCGCCATTTGTGGTAAAATAAATGGACACATTAAGTGCCAGCAGAGCGGCATAAACTACAAGAGAGCAAGAGGGTGGAAAAAGAGAGTGTTGAAATGAAAAATATACATCGCCAAAGCAAGAAAAAGCGACAAAGAAGCTCTGGGAAGTGAGATGGCCGAATTAAAGTGCAGTGCGGAACGTTGAAAAGCGGTCCAAAAACACGAAAAAAATCGCCGATTGAAAACCGAAAAATGGCCAGGAAGCTGTGCTACACATTAATCTGGGTCAAGTTTGTTGAATGTGTTGAGCGCGCTGAATGCAGCTTCCTAAC